AAGTCCACAGGAGCTGCAGTGGTTCAGGAGACAGATAGTTCTTTGAAAGGCATCTTCTATGAGTGTAGTGAGTAGCAAGACTACATATCCCACAAACCACTGTAGCTCCCACAGAACCTTAGCATTCCCTAGCAATGCTGGCATAGTTTTCCCCTTCTTCAGACTCAACATAGTGACAGAGATCCACAAGTAAACAATTAAAAATTGCTCTATAGCCTTTTCATAGAATCACTGAATTCTGAAGCTGGAAGGGGCCTATAAGGCCATCAAGTCCAAAGCCCTGCTTGGTGCAGGAATACAAATCAAAGGGTATCTGCCAGGTGACTATCTAAGTTTCTCTTGGAATGCCTCCAGGGTTAGAGCACTGACCGCCTATCAAGGTAATTGGTCCCACTATCGTATTGCTATAACAGGTAGGATGTTTTTTCTGATATTCAATAGAAATCGGGTTTCCTGCAACTTGAGCCCATTGTTGCATGTCCTGTATTCTGGGATGATTGAGAACAGATCCTGCCTCTCCTCTGTACTGTATTAGTCTTCTTTTCTCAAGGCTAAATATATCCAATTCTTTCAGGGCTTGGTTTCCAGCCCCCTAATCATCCTTGTTGCCCTCCTTTGTACTTGTCCCAATTTGTCAGCATCCTTCTTGAAGTGTGGTGTCCAGAACTGGACACAGGATTCAAGCTGAGGCTTAACAAGTGCTCAGTAGAGGGGAACTAGCACCTCAGCACCTCATGGAATTTGGAAACTATACTTCTATATTTTTCTTGGCTACAACTTCTAGAATTCTCCTGGGGTGCATTTGCTAGGCACACTGTGGGAGCTGCAGTACAAAATAATCCAAAAGTCCCAGGCCTAGCTGCAAAGTGAACTGATCTTGCTAGTTATGCCAAGCTCATGTGTTATTTGCTCCAACAATTAATGCTCTTTCAGCCTGGCATTTATTATACACTGATGAGCCAAAACATTAAAACCACTTGCCTAATATGGTGTAGGTTCACTCATGCTACCAAAACAAGTCTGATGCATCAACACCTCAAGACCTCTGAATGTGTCTTGTGGTATCTGACACCAAGACATTAGCAGAAGATCCTTTAAGTCCTGCAAGCTGTGAGGTGGAGCCTCAATCGATCAGATCTGGTGCTCCAGCACATCCCATAGATGTTCTATCGGATTGAGATCTGGTGAATTTGAAGACCAAAGCAACACCTTTAACTTTTTGTCGTGTTCCTCAAAACATTCCTGAACAATTTTTGCAGTGTGGTAGGGTACATAATCCTGCTGAGAGGCCAGTGTTGAAAGCGGCAACACAACTGCCATGAACGGGTCTGCAACAATCTCTAGGTAAGTAGTACATGTCAAAGTAACATCCACATGAATGCCAAGATACAAGGTTTCCCAGCAGAACATTGCCCAGTGCATAACACAGCCTTCTTCTCATAGTGCACCCTGCTGCCATCTCTTTCCTAGGTGTATGACACACATGCACCTGATCTAAAAACAAGATTCATCAGACCAGGCAACCTTGTTCCATTGCTCCATGGTCCAGTTCAGATGTTCACATGCCCATTGTAGGTGTTTTCACTAGTGGACAGGATCATCACAGGCACCTGACTGGCCTGCAGCTACACAGCCCCATATACAACAAACTGCTCTAGGAGTTTTAACACCTATCATGGCCATTGTTAGGTTTTTCCACAATTTAAGCTAGAGTAGCTCTACTGTGTGATTGGACCAGATGGGCCAGCCTCCACTCCCCATGTGCATCAATGAACCTTAGTTGCCCATGGCTCTAACGCCGGTTTACCAGTTGTCCTTCTTTGCACTACTTTTTGGTAGGTATTAACCACTGCTCACTGGAAGGATAGATCCTAAAGCTGAGGCTCCAATACTTTGGCCATCTCATGAGAAGACTCCCTGGAAAAGACCCTGATGTTGGGAAAGTGTGAAGGCAAAAGAGGAGAATGAGAACAACAGAGGACGAGATGGTTGGACAGTGTCACTGAAGTTACCAAAATGAATCTGACCAGACTCTGGGAGGCAGTGGAAGATAGGAGGGCCTAGCATGCTCTGGTCCATGGGGTCACAAAGAGTCGGACACGACTTGACTAAACCAGCACCACCACCACTGCATACTGGGAACATCCCATAAGACTTGCCATTTTGGAGATGCTCTGACCCGGCTATCACTATATGGCACTTGTCAAAGTCACTCAGATCTTTTCACTTGCCTGTATTTCCTGCTTCCAACACATTCAATTCATGAACTTAGAGTCCACTTGCTGCCTATATCCCTCCCTTTGATAGGTGCCATTGTAACAATATAATCAATGCTATTCACTTCACATGTCAGTGGTTTTGATGTTGTGGCTGATCAGTGTATATTGCCCTGTCAGCAAGTGACAAGTTTCCACAGGACAGATAAGGGCAGATGGAAGTTTTGCTATACAACTGCCAGGACCCTGAAATCAAATAACTGAAGGCAAAGGGGGAAAACTGTCAAGAGTCAGGAAAACACAGAGAAGGGATTAAGGAAGTATGAGAGAATAGCTATACTTCCAACTTCTAAAGCACAAATCTCAAAATGCAAAGGAAATGAGATTTGTACTTCACATTTAGATAATCATCAGTTTAAGAAGGTATCAAAGCTAGTGGGGTTTTATCCTGATCTATTTGGCACAACTGAGACTATACTATGCTGTAACTGAGGTAACAAAGTGAAGCACACAACAGTATAGCACTGGTTTAAGAGCAACCCGAAATGTCGATCCAAGATGTTCCTGCATTCTATAGTTCAACCCAATATCTTGTTGATATTTATAAAGTCTATTTTGCTAAACACAGTCATACAATTGAAAATATATGTTTTAATATTTTTCTTGTATTTTAAGTCACTAGTAACAATTTGAACAATTTAGGATTACAGTACGCAAACACTGTGCTAACTAAAAACAAAAACACACACAAGCCCTCAATAGGTTAACACTTTATAAAACTAGGAACCTGACAATAATGAATAGTGTGCCGCCAACTCAACACTTCATGTGCAAAGTATAAGCATAATAGTGAGGTAATCTGGTAATTTCTCTTCTATGTTATTAAAAACAGAATCTGGCATTGCCACATGGAGATTTTATCCCCACATGAACACTCTATATAGCTGGTGGAAAATGTTTCCACCTTGCTTTAGTAAAATAATTTATCAGTTTAGCTATCGCTTGCTTCCAGCGGTTAAAGTGATTAAGCTAATACACTTTGTGGAGTTCAAAGAAACTTTTTCTGCAGCAGAGGATAGAAACAAATGGTAATTAAAGACAGGATAATGGGTTTAAAAATGCAAAGTATTATTGACCAGAACAGTCTGTAAATGTGGTAACCATGTTTCCTCGACGCTGAGTGACAGTTCTGCAGTGCTTACTAGACCCATGGAATTTGCCTCCAGTTCTCATTGTTTTTTGATGTGTGTTGTCAAAGCCATTGAAGGAAAACATTTTTTCCATGTCTTCAAACATGTCATCAAACAGTCCACCTCCAAAGGAAAATTCTGGGAAAGAACGTCTCTGCCTGTTGTGTACATTCTGATGACTGTGGAAGTGATTATCAAAATGTTTCTTTGACTGTGTATTGTGGGTTTGGCCAAAGAAATCAAAGTCTTTAAACAAGTCATCAAAATTGAAGTTAAATGACTGCTGGAAGTTGTTTCCACTGCTTCTTCGTCCTTCAGCATGGCCAAATTGGTCATACTCTCTACGTCTATTTTCATCCGACAGTGTTTCATATGCTGTAAAAGCAATAAAAAGCAACTATAAAATCTTGCATATAACACATGCCCTCTGACAAAGATAATGATTTTAGAAAAAATGGCATACTCTGCATGAATGACACTATATTCCAGGCCACTTCAAGTTAAAGGCTAAAGGTAGCAAGCCTGAGGAAAATCACAGTATAATCTGGGCTGGAGAACTATTGCCAATGACACAAAACTAAACAAAGCCAAAAAGCAAAGATCTCGGAAAGATATAAAGCTGAGCCAGCTACCTGGGATTGAACCCCAGGTCATGAGCAGCTTTGGCTGCAGTACAGCAGTTTAATCACTGTACCACAAGGCTCCCCAACTAATAATCTATTTGTACAGTATCACATCCTTAGTGCACTCACTTCCATATATTCCATACTGATTAGCATCAATTCTCCAGAGTTACAACTAAAAACACTCCCTTTCCTAAACAGAGATGCCAGTATTTGAATCTGAAACTTTCTGAAAACAATGCATGCCCCCTTAACATAGCTATCACTGAGTTAATTTGTAAAAGCTAATATGTAATATAACATAATTAATGGTATGTACATTTTAAAATTCAGTTTCAAAGACAACCATACTAAATTATTAAGGTATATGTTGAAAGCATTATATTCAAACCAGTTTTCAAAGATAGCCTTTGGGTATTAGTTAATGAAGTACAGCTACAAATATACCTATACAAATACTTAAGTGTCACTGCTATCTAAAAATGTGTTTCTCAAAGCAATAATATATTAGTCCTAGCTCTTTCATCACAATGAGGAATTTAGTACAGCATCAGTGAACACTGGATAGAAGGTAGATTCTATTTACCTTCTGCAATTTCTCGGAACTTTGCTTCTGCCCCCGGACTCTTATTTTTGTCCGGGTGGTATTTCATTGCTAGTTTGTGAAATGCCTTCTTGATTTGCCGATCAGTTGCAGTTTTGGGGACACCAAGAATGTCATAATAATTCTCTTCAGCCAGTATTAGTTCTGTTATCATTAAAATGCAAAGTGCAAATATGAAGATAGACTGGGTAGTAGCCATTGTTAAGATCTCTGTAAAGGAAATAACATGAGAGTTATTTTTTTAGTGAAAACACAGCTTACCATCCAAATATTTTTACCTGAAATGTAGTTCAGTTAGAAAACTTTAGTTTTCCATTATCTTCTCAGCTGAGTAAATGTTCACATATTTTGATAATATTTTCTCAGGATTCCTGAGGTTTACCTATGTGTATTTTATATAAATATATCTGGCTTGCCTTCAGAACAATTTATATTTGTCTCTAGCTCTCAGAATCGTAACCTCAAGATGTACCATTTTCAGAAAGAAAAAGAAAAGAAATATATTTTGGAATAATTTAGTTTATTTTTATAACATTAATATATGGATCCATATGAAGAATCTACTCAAAGGCTGAGATACTGACAAAGGTTAATGTGAGCTATGTTTAACTCTGATAGAATAATAATACTTTCATAACCCACTTTCACATGGCTTTCAATAAAGACGTTTACAATTGTTGTTAATATTAAAGGTTTGTAATAAGTAGAGATGTGCATGGTGAGAACTTTCATTTTGTCTTGTATTGGATTCTTTTGATGCGGTGCCTCTTTCATTTTAATTTTCTTAACACAAAAAGAACCAGCTTTTTAGGGTCATTTCATCACACACCCTTCAAGATTCTGAATACACAGTAAATTAAGCAAGTAACATTTTAAAAGAATTAGCCTAACAGAGAAAGCAAATCCTCACACTGAGAGGCTGAGAGTAGAGAGCCTCTTGGTGGAGTGCCGTGCCTTCTACAGACAATAGAAAGAGAGGATCAGACTTCTCCCATTCCCTCTCCATGGAAAAGAGAACGGGGAACCGATACCCGGGAACTGGAGCAAGAGTTACGTGGGCTAGAGATAGAGCAACCCATCTCAATGGAACTGGCGGGAAGAGACAGATGTCAGAGGATGGAGATAGAGGCGGGAATGGCAGAAATAAAAAGGGACAACAGTCAGTTACCGCCAGGTCGGGAATGGGTCTGGCTACAAGACCCTTCGACAGGGGTCTGAGAACGCCTAAGAGTACCCAAGGAAGAAGCCAATTACCACCACAGGAGAGAAATCCCCCCAGATCATCTTACTGGGGAGAAGCAGAGGCTTGAGAGTGGTGGCAGAGGTTGAGAGAGGAGAAGGAAAAGGTGGAAAGGATAAGAGATAGGTTGACATGGAGGGTAGAGGAGATGAGGAGGATAAACTATCCAGAGGACCCTGGGCAACCCTTTCTCCCACCAGAGACTATGGATGGGCAGACTTTGCAGAGGAGAAAACCATTCATTTATTGGAAGGACAGACCAGAGAGGTTCTAAAGGAAGAACCAATGATGGACTGGCCTGGCCTGTGGAACACATACGGGACCAACCCTTTTCCTGAAGCTTGGAAGCCCCTGTCTGACCCGTTGGCAGCAGGTGAAAAGTTATGGGACCGACTTTTTGATACCTGACTCTTGTTGAATAATCCAATAAACTGTTCTCCTGTTTCATGTATTCAGTTCGCACTGGGAACCCAGCTGGAGAGAACAGAGAGTCAATGAAGCTAGAGTCTCTGACTCTAAAGGGGGGAGGGTTTAGCTCAGTAGGAGGGTGTTTCTTTTTTGTGTTGATGTTTTAGTTGGATGTTTGGTACTATTTAAATCAATAAAAAACAAACAAAAAAGAAAATACAGTGCTATATCAATTTCAATTTTCAATTTGAAATACTCATTTAAAATATATAATGATTGTTATCAGCAAAAAAAAATCAAAAAGGCCTCCTGATTCCTTTAAAGAAATGTCGGATCCAAAAGATGAACCCTCACACACACAAGGAAAAACAACAACACATACAGCCCTTCCAATAACTGAGAAAGTCAAGCAAATAAAAGCATAACAATACACTCAAAGCCCATCTCAAACCAAAACTATTAGAATATGAAGAGATTTCTTTCCTCCCCTGATGCCTTTTGTTCTGAGTCCAGAACCCAGGCACTACAATACGAGAATGAAGGCATTATGAACTTGTACACAGATCCCCACAACTCACTGGCTCCACCTAATCCAAGCTCTTTTACATTTTCACAATTTCTGCTCTTGAACATTCTGATTGGCTGCTGACAACAGCCCTTGTGGTACTACTGGATGAAAAAATTCTTAGGGCAATTTGATAGACATGGTAAAAGAAAAGTTAGATGAAAGAGGAAAACAGAATAATACAAAATCTCAATCTACTCTTCTCTTGTTTAAGTGAATCATTTGTTTCAGAAGCTGTTTCAAGAGTTACAAAAATGTGAAAATAAAAAAGGGACAATGTATTTTTTCCTTTTGTGTTTACATCAAAGTCCACTCCTTAAAACTGATAAAGATGAGAAAATTGGCAGTATGAAGACAGACAATATCAAATTAGCTAATACAACTTTCACTTAAAATCTCTTTGCCTATACAAATACTATGTTTTTATATAAATGTTAAAGGAAAAAGTAGGGAAATATCAGATGACCACACAATTATCAGACTTAGAATCTTAAAGTTGCCTTAAACATGTGTAGGCACAGTTATAAATCATGCATTTTATACACATGTACACACATTCTCAAATCCATGTGGTTTGTAAACACTTGAGAGGGGCAAATAAACACTATTTGAACCAGAACTTGTCTTTGCGAGCTATGTTTCCCTTTTTCTTTATTACAATGCTTGTGAGAATTTTGAAAATGTGAATAAATGATGTTCAATTTTATAAGAGGCATTGGCTATACTAACAAAGCCAATAGTGCTTTGTCATGAAAAAAACCCACAATATGAAATTAAAAAAAGTCCAAAACATTTGTCTCTACCTGCTGTCCAGAACACTGTTTACACCAATATTTACATTTTAACAGGACATTTTGCAGAATAAGTGGGTCTAGGAGTTTTGTTAGGCCATCACTTAATTGTTCCACTTTTAGTTGTGTATTTTGATCTAACTACTAAAAGAAGTAACTAACAGAAAAAGTACATTTTCATAGTAAGGGGAGTAATACCAAGAAACAAATATCTTTTTTAAAAAAACATTGCCTTATCAAGTCACAGAAACTTAATAATTACTGTACAAGCCTTAGGGCGAGAGGGATACTGATGAAACTGTTCTAAGCAACACTGAACCCATGGGACAGGGAAAGTTGTATGGTAGATAGCTTGTTAATACAAAAACATTGTATGCTCTTCTGTTCTCCACCATTCAGTGTTAATTACAACTTCAATAGGTACACTGGCATGCCTCCCCACCAGTACCGTTTTTACATATTACATAAAGCAAATTATTATACATGCCTAAACATGTCTGTTTTGAATCTTGTTCTGAGTAAGAGACATGGAAACAAATCAACTCTTGCTTTATCAATATTTTCTTCCCCCTCAATGTTGTTTTCCTCCCCCTCCTTCCCAATCCCTTTTTTTCCTCCGAGTGCCGGCAAGAAACAGCAGCAGAATTCTCTTTGCAGTCAGGTGGAACACCACCACAGGAAGGCACGCCACATAATATCCAACTCATAGATGTATGAGCTAGAAACTGGCCTACTCAAAGCAATGGGGGCTTTCTGTTTGTGAATTCTACTTCTGCTTCAGATAAGTCTAGTGAAACAACACACATACAGGGAGAGAACTGTAAGAGTACAACAGTATGCCTTATTCAGAAGTTTATTCCTTCTCTCCAATGTTGCAAAATATACCACTGCTTAATTAATAAAAATGATAACCAGATTTTAAAAATGGAATACTGAACACCATACTCTATTTCTGCTTCAGATAAGTCTAGTGAAACAACCAACACTAGAACAAGTTGCCATTACATTAGGAACTTGAATGTGTTTTTAATCAAGAAACTGGTAAAAAGAACTCCATTTCTACTTCATTACTCACAGAATAAGCTCTACTCCAATTAACTCCAACAGCACTAGTCCCTTAGAATTACAAATGTCATTACTCTAGATATCATTTTTACTCTAGAGTAGCTGAAGCAGTACCTAGTTCTACTCTAATAAGAAAAAGAAAGAGTCTGGTCAGACTTGTATAGGTGCACATTCTAATAAAGCCACCAGCTTTGGCCATGATAGCAACAACTGTCTTTAATAACTGATGGTGAGCTCATCAGTTTTTGAGTAAGATATTAAGTGCTATCGACTCATTTCCATGAGTCCTTGAATTCTTGAGCAGACTTAGTTTTTGCCTTCATACTGAAACGGTCCTGGTTAATAATTTACACTGGGAACTGCACAGGGGAAGCATAATCCTAATTACAATCCTATTTGACTGGACATTCTCAGAAGATGGTGCAGAGGGGCAACACTTTTGACACAATGGCTTTTAGGGTCCCTCAGGGTTCTCTTCTGTCCCTTCATATGCCAGACAACATCCACACAAGGTTAACAGAATAAATCACCAGAGTTTGTTGCCATCAGTACTGACAAAAAAAAATCCAAATGTCCTTTGAAACTGATGCCAAAGAGGCTATGGAGATGCTGATCTGCCATCTGGGTTCATCTATCCACTAGAAGCGAGCCATCAAAATGAAGCATAATCCAGAAGAGACAGAAGGAATACTAGTCAGTATTGGGCTAGGACTATAGGAATAATGTAGCTTGGACAAATTTACATTCTATCTGAAGGGCCTGATTTGCCGACTGAAGGAATATTCCCAGATATTAGCTCCACCTTTCACCAACCATGTTCCCCTAGTCATCATCACATGAGGTCACTGCAGCACACATTATACAGGGGTGCTTTTAAAAAAGGTCTGGGAAATGCTGCAGTCACAATAATTTTGGCTGTCCATTTTTCTGAATATAGCCTTGTTTAAACTGCATTGATTTCTTCAATTCATTTTCCAAGATTGATTGTATGTGCCAATTATTACCTATAAAATCCTAAATGGCATGTGGATAGAACAATCTAATGCCCCCATCCCCAATAGTGCTCTTGGTTGCGATACTATTGTTTAACAGAAATTAGACTGGCCACTTTTTTCGATTAAAGATGTCTTCATTTCACCATGCTTTTGATTAAGCTTTGAACTTTCTGGTTTTGGTTTGTGTTTGAACTGTTTTGGCTATTAATACTCCCTGTTTAAATGTCTACTGCGAGAAGCAACCTTGTATTACCAGCACAGGCATTGTAAAGCATGTTTATGAATAATATATAAAGTTTTAAATGGCAAAGTTGCCCAGAGTATGCCCCAGTGAACACTGTGAAACTTCAAAAGAAGCATACAAAACGATCAGTTGTAAGGCACTGGTTATTATTTGCTTTGTAAGGCATAGTTCATACACTTCTTTTAAGTAATCAAGCACACATTTTTTGCATAAGCAACAGTATGTATACCAGCTATTTAAGAAAGAATAATTTTCCAATATTTGCTTGCAGCCTTCGAAATCTCATACCAATCATTTTACAGAAGCACTACACCATATGAAAATGAGATGTATATTCACTACTTACCTACTGAGCTGCACCTATACTAATATCCCACCTGTAAAAGGTGTATTTCAACCACCTTAGATAATAACATGCATAAAAGGTATGAGGTAATTGTTTTGGACTTCAATTTCCTGAAAAGTAACTTGCACCATTAAAAATGTGACTACTCTAACTGTGTTTGGGGCATTCAACAGGAATTTAATCTTACTATCTCAAGAGAAAATGGACAGCAACCTATCAGTTAGTTAAGCCGCTGTATCTTCTAAGTGCAATGGCATGAACTGCTGAGAGTTAACAAGATGCTGTTTGTATTCCAGCAGGATGGTGAGCAACAAATGACACAAGTGGCAATCTGCTGCTGTAAATTATGTTACTACACTTTCACCAGCATAACCAACCCATAGGATTCTGGCCACTATTAAAAAAAAAAACCATGCACTTAAAAATGCTATTACAAATACACCTCAACACACATTGGCTTAGTTTCTAACGTTTAGCTTCTGAGACCCAGAAAAATATATATTCATAAAATCTTTGTTTCACCAATTAAAAATCAATATTGATTGAGACAAAGTAAATTATCACCATCTAGCATTAAAATTGTACTACAGAAAATAAAATGTACTCCAGGGAATCTGAAGTTTCAGGAAAACATACCTAATTTCTTCCACTTTACCAAGCTAGACTACTACTTAAAAACACTCTTATACTACCATAAGCAGCTGGCTTCCAAGCAGCTGTACATGTCACACACATTCCTCTGTGTGAGTGTCAGGGCAAAGCCTGTCAGCAAAGGATAGAGATGTGTGAACGTCCATCAATCAATATCCCAAAGTCTTCTTTTGTAGACTACTTGGCAAGACAGGGCAAGCCAAATGCCACATAACAACAGCTGAACATATACCACTGATACATTTTATAATTAGGAAAATTGGGGTTGCATAATGACAATCCAAAATTTATGAAGTGGCAGCCAACTGCCTCATCATTATTAAAACAAGAGAAAAAAGCCATGTGGCTCTTATACAAAATCTGATAGTAAGAGTGAGTAGTATCTCTACTGGACCACTAAAACATTGCAAACAAGTGAGTTTCAGAGTCCAACAGGTCTCTTCTTAAACAGATCAGCCAATCAGGGCCTGATCTGTAACCACAGCAGAGAATTGGCCTTGTCCAAAAAAAGTCATATTAGAATATAGAAGTCGGCCTTTAAGATGCCATTTTTGTCTTCTTTTTCATTTTTGTTGTTTTTGCCTGACATACTACCAGAGACAAACACAGCTACCTCTTCTAAAATCAGTGCAGAGAAATACACCACCACTCAAAAACTGCAGTGCCCAGGCTGAAGATGCTTGCCTGTTCCAAATACTTTTACTGGCCCAACAAAAGGCACTACACAGCCTTATTCTTGAACTTATTAAAATATAAAGGAGTGTCAAATGCCACAGGAAGCAGAAACAAGGATAGTAAAAAGGTATCTCAAAGACCATACAGTATCTCCCATTATATGCCTGCTTGTGTATTGAGAGAATCAGAAAAAGGCCTTTCTCTAAGTTCCACCACCTTCACAGCTATGTTTGTTGGGGACATGGGAGAGGACCTGCTTTGTTGCTACTCCCAGACTTTGGAACCCCCTCCCACATGGGAGAGAACCTGCTTTGTTGCTGCTCCCAGACTTTGGAAACCCCTCACACAGGAAGCCAGGCTGGCCCCATCTTTGCTGTCCTTTTGCAAGCAGACCTTTCTTTTCAGGCAAGCCTTCCCTCAGTGACTGGTTACCTGCTGTGTAATTTGGACTGTTATGGCTTACTGCTTACTGTATTCTTAGTATTGCTTTTTGGCTCTTTAAGGAGAAAGACAGGGTGAAAATGCTTACCCACACTTAAATAAATAGGGATAGATAGATAGATAGATCTATTGAAACTGGATTAAGGGAACCTAGGTCGAAATGTAGAGGACTATGCCTTGATTAATAAATCCCCATTCCTCTGCTTAAACAAATAGGCATAGATAGATCTACTAAAATAGGATTAAGGGAACCTAGGTCGAAATATAGAGGCCTATGCCTTGATTCCACTTCATGGATTGCTGCCTTGTCGTGTTCAACACTCACTAAGGCCAGGTCCTATTTATTCCCAACCCAGTCCCGAGAACAGAAAAGGAGGCCACTGGGCTTCTTACGTTTTCTCGAAACCAACTTGTAACCATAGAGATAATCAGACAGGCTCAAGGAAACCCTAAAGTTTCAGCGACGAAGCTGTCCCTTGGTATTCAGGAAGATCCTTCCCCCGCTACCACCAGCTAAGCCCGAAGGAGTAGAGAAAAATAAAAGTGGCCCCAGAGTTTGGCTCTTCCCTGCCACCCCTTCTGCAGCTAAATAAGGCAGCCTACAGGCCTCCAAGCCGGGCAAAGACTCCAACACTCTCCCCTCCCCCGCAAACTCACCAGCCGCTCCTCTCCCTCCCTCGGCCAATCCGTTCTCTTTCGCTTTCCCACAACCTTCCCTTCTTATAAAGCCTACCGAGAGGCGCGGCGCGCGGAAGGAAGGCGACGTTCCTCCACGAAGCGCTCCCCGATTGGCCGCCCGCGGTCACGCGGCCCGCAGGGCTTCGGCGCACGTGGACAGCTGTTGTTGCCCCGCGCGGGTGACGAGCGTCTTGGCGGGCAGCGCCCCTTCCGGCCACAAAGGGGGAAAGAGAGGAAGGGCGAACTGGGGAAAGGGGGGGAATCCAGAAGTCGTTTCCGGAAGCGGAAATGTGGGTTGCGGGTTCTGCTTAAGGGCGAAGGAGTGTGGGCAGGGGGGGAAGAAAAGAGGAGGCGTCCTCCACGCCAGCCACCGGCTGGGACACGCCTCGGCCATGCCTCGCTACTGCGCAGCCACCTGTTGCAGGAACCGAGCGGGGCAGAGCGCCCGAGACCAGAGGAAGCTCAGCTTTTACCCGTGAGTGCCGTCGAGGACGAGGCTCGAAGGATGATAGGTTTTGGTGGCCCCGATTCCGTTGCAGCTCATCTCACAGTGTTTAGGGGAAAATACCCTGAATTCTTTGGCGGGGAAGGGGGTGGACGGGGGGTGGGGAGAGAGAAGAGAGCGAGAAACTTTCCCTGTCCTGCTTAAGGGATCTTGCAGCATGATCTTTCTTCATGCTTCCTTGAAAATAAAAACCCCACCGATTTCTTTTAAGGAGATGTTCGCGGGGAGTCGGTTCATGGCAGGCTGCGTGCCCTGCGCTGTCACTTTCGCCCGATCACGGCCAGATTTTATGTTTGCAGTTCAATAAAGAAAAAGAGTCTCGGCTCTCCGCACTTCACTCCCCTTTTTATGGAGTTTTAAAAGGCTCCGGATCAGGTGTTGCGCCGCGTCACAACTTATACATGAGCCTCGTCGGCTCTTAAATAATCTGTTGAAGGAAACTGCAAAACGAGAACACACAGAGTGGAACAGGACTTATCGTTATGTCCTCTTCCTGTCTGAAAGGGTGTATAATTCCGAGTATACGCTCTACCGGCAATTCTGGCCCTTTCAAGCAAGTGGGACAACGAAGTTAAAAAGAGTCTCAGTTGCCTGGATTGCTGTCTTGAAGCTCGAAAAGCAGGCTATAAAGATACAAATGTGATAAACAAGCAAAAGCTGGAGTGCCAGATGGGGACTGGGGAGACCCTGGTTCACTAGGTTTTGAAGCCCAGCCGCTCTCTTTCAGTTACTTCACAGGACTGTGAAGAGGAAGATATTATAAATGCTATTATTCAAAAACTCCAGGCAGTCAGAATTATAAAGACATCGACGGGTATTCTATAACAGATACAAGTTTTGATTAAAAATCTAAGTATCTGTTAAATATCGATGCAGTATGTACGCTGTTCCTAATATTGCTGCTTTTGTAGCTCTGATGGTGGTGTGATTTCTGAGATCTGAAACTGCTTATATAATAACAACAACAACAACTGCAGAGCTGGAAGAGACCTGGATGAGTCATTTGAGTCCAGCCCCTGTCAATTAAACATACTAGGGAATCAAATACAGTATATGGGAGAAGAATTATGCTGCCTTGAATTTCTTGGAGGAAACTTGAGATTAAAATGTAATCAAGTGAAACAAGATGTTATTGTCGGTGATTATCATGCCCCATTTTCTTTCCAAAGAAAAAAATTGATTACTCTTATTTCTGTTCTAAAGCATGTTTGCTTAGCAATTTATCTCAGTTTAGTGGCACCAAAAACCAACCGATCAGGGATTTACCTGTAGGAGTTACTGTGCGTGTGACTGTTTAATGTGGTACACAGTGCAGTACTGCCATCACTGAGAGCCAAGTTCAAGTCTGCACTGAGCCATGAGACTCATCATGGTTTAATTTCTCTCTCTGACCATACCTCATAGGGTTATTGAGAAGATAAAACAAGGAAGAGGATGGTCATGCCTTGATCTCATTAGAGAAGAAATAGAATATAAATATAGCACAGATTGAAAGTAGGCTGAAATCTTGTTATGTAGCTCTCCCTGCATGGTAAGAATGATATCACTGCCTGTTGATCATTCAACACTTCCTTTGTTTTCATTTCAAGTGTGCATGGCTTGCATGGAATGAAGTAATGCACCCTGAAATCAAGAAAGGATGTCTAATCTGTAGCCGACTGTTGCTTGACATCAGTCCTGTTGTACAGACAGAATCTGTTCAACAGGGTTTTGGCCAGTATGTGCAAGTTTAAATTTAAACATATGCACTTTAATAAAGCAAAAATAACATTCCACCTTAAAATAAGCAGGAATCTGCAAGTTTTTGCTGTTCAACACATTTTTCCTAGGTTGAGTTCAAGAAAAAGACATGGAGTATCATGCAATATACATAATGTTTTTTAAAAGCCAGTCAGTCTTGTGTAGGGGATAGACTGTCACACTAGTATTCAAAAGACCTGGGTTCAAATTTCTGTTTCACCAGAAACTCATGGGGTGGTGGTGGTGGTAAAGGCAAGCACTTCATATATGTACAGGTACCTCAAAAAACCCATTAGAATAGTCAGCAGTACATAACAAGACAATTACAGTGACCTTCACATAACCTTTCAAAGAAACCTAGGCTTTCCTTTATGAATTTTTATTTTATTATCTGCATCTTTCCTAGCACCCATGAGATTCATTATCCAGTAAGAATGGAGTTTAAGAGATTTACATAGAATATGTTTTACAGAGATAGTAAAGCAGAGAACTATGATGGTGTTACAATTGAAGATACAAAGGCAGCATTTAATTCTGTCACTATTTAAAATATTGGGACATTTCAGCAGTTGAATACTTTTTAAAGCGACTTATCCAACATGAATATGATTGATACTGCCTGTCTGCAAGCATGTCCAGTATATCTGTGAGAAAATAGGGTTGACAGCACGAGAGGACTGGAATGTATAAGTTTGTTATTTTCTCTTTGAGTTTTATCTCAAGCAGTGAAGCTGCTGCTCCCTTCATCAAGATTAGTCACACTCCTGTAAAGTATATCTATAGTTATAAAACTGTATGTGTATTATCTTAATTATTGCTGGCGAAAGAACAGTTTTTACAGGCGTAAAAGCAAGCGTTTGGTACTCTAGTGTTGCTTAAGCATATGCTATTGCTTTCTTTGATCTGAGGGCGCCAGAGTGGCTTCTAGGCACCAAAGGAAATTGACAGTAAGTTTAAATTCACAAATTATACCAAAGGATAGCTCATCAACTAAGTAAAATGCAAACTGAAAGGGGAGTCATCAGGTGGAGAATGGGATACGAACAATAAAACATCTTTCTAAAGTCATAACTTGTGATGATGGAATCCAATAAAGGATCTCCAAGGCAAATTCACACAAGAGAAAATGGTCCCTGGGGTACCCTGCTCAGTCCTCTGCCAAACAGAGCTTTGTGAGGCAATACCATCACTTTGAATGGTGACATCTATCATATGAAATTATATGAAACATGTCATTTCCATTGCTTGCGAGTTATCAGTACATCTAATTATAAGTTTCTGGAAAATGTAAATAAATTGTTGTGCACAAGAAACCTAGAATGTTGTAGGCAATAATTTACCTCAACCGTAATATAGTGCTTTTTTGTACATCTTTTTGAAGCAGATTTCCTCTACATGATAAAGAGAGATTAGAAAAATGGTTGCGGAATATGAAACGTGACACGTGGACTCCCAGTAAACATCAGGTCCTCTGCAGTGACCATTTTACACCAGATTCTCTTGATGTCCGATGGGGGATTCGATATTTGAAAACAACTGCAGTGCCAACTATTTTCTCGTCGTCTGATAATCAGGTAAAAATAAGTTGCAAATGAGAAATCATGTGATAAAAAAATATTTGCCTCAGAGCCATGGGAGCATTTATTTTTATTTTAATGGCATTGTAATTAGATTTGTTCTCTATTTGCTGGCACACATATGCTTGCAGTTCGGATGTGTGGTGTACAAATACTGCTTTCTTATAACTGTGCAGTCTGGTCCTGTGATTGACCTGAGATTTCACAGAGCCCCCTCCATTAGTTCAAATATTTTTTTATTTTATTTTTACTCTATTTTCTTGGTTTCCACATTTTCATTTGTAACTATGTGTTTTTATTAATTGTTTATATTATATTGGAAGCCGCTCAGAGTGGTCGCATAGACCAAATGGGCGGGATACAAATCAAATCAATCAATCAATAAATGGGTAGAATCACTCTTTGTCTTCCCCTTCAGTGCTCATCCAAGCAGACAGACAAATCCCTGAAGAATTTTCTGATCTCATGGGAATTTTAACATGTTTATGGATGGGATTATAGTCAGCTGGTCTTCTGTTCCCCAGGCTATTGAAAATTCAGTGTCCTTCCAAAATGGGACCAACTGCTAGAAACCAGAAAGTGTTCTTTCAGCTTCTTGGGATCATGGCTTGCCCCAAAGTGGAATGGGTTTCTTTCTTTTTTACTCCAATACTCATGTTTTCCCTAGACAAAAAATACCCCAATGGTGAATTGCAATATATTTGTTTGTGCAGTTTTTGCCCAAGTTGTTTTTTGCCTGTTTGGAAAAAAAAAACCCTATACATGAAAAGTGTCCGGAACTTGGGCATATAGCTTACAATTTTAAATGACAGTGTTGTGAAATGTGCACCTTATATATCTTCTGCTGTATGAATTCTACAACAAAACATGTCTGAACTGCTAAATGTCCTGTTTGGTTGGGTTAAGAAGCACTTACAGTACTTTGATACAGTAGACCTGGCTCTTAATTTTCTCTAGTGAAGCTTCACCCCTTGAAAGATTGAAGAGGGAATGTAAAAACCCACTTCAGAAAGTCATTCCTTATTTTAAAAAAATTGCTAAACTGTATCTAGTCAAGCTATACTTCTAGCTAACCTATTTAGTAGTTTTTAAAATTGGATTTTTACAATGTAAGGGTATTATTACCCATCGTTATTTCAGGAATTTGACCACTTTAAATCTTCTTACGAAGAAATGTCACACTCTCCACAGAACTGAAGAACCTTCTTTAACAAAGCCTTTGAGGAATATAACTTACACCTCTTACCCCTCAAATGGTCCCCTAAATAGTTCCCCTCCTGTTCCCTCTCCTCTTAATTCTTTTAGGACTGACGACCCTGCTTGGACCGAGCCTGCTTCTGCTGTCTCTGACTGCCCTGATGTTTCCTCTTTTATCCACACTTCTCTCCCTTCTGTTCCTTCCCATGTACCTCCTTTATGCCCCATTCTATCTGACGAAGAATTGCCTCCTATAACTGAGGATTTTACTGTCCCTCCTCTTGCTGTTCCTCATCCTATCAATAACCCTTTATCATCTGTTTGTATTGTGAAAAAAACACCTTTCGGTCCAAGCTCTTTGTTTTAGTTGATGCTTCATCTCAAGTTCCCCTTCCGCTAAATTTCATAAGGTGCATACTAGAGAAAATTTCTCTTCCCTTCTTCCTCACATTCAGGCACCCACCCTTTCTCACTCTCCAAAAAACACAACAGTTAATTCCTTATCACATGTTCTTTCTCCAAAGGAAATTCTTGATTCTACTACCCCCCCCCTTATATCCTATTTCTAGTTTATGCCCCTCCCATTTTCCCTAGCTTAACTCCCGGTTACCCTCCCCTCCCTACCTTCCCCCACCTTGTCACTCAAGGTCCTCTGTTGGAACATTGCGGGATGGAGGAGGAAAGCTCCTATCTACACACAATATTCTTCTTCTTCAAGAAACCTGGTCTTTATCTTCCCCTTTTATTCCAGGATTTATTACACACCATCTCCCTGCCTTTAAAACTAACTCAAAAGGCCGCCTCTGTGCAGGTCTCTCCTGTTTTATTAATCCTTCCTTCCCTTTTTTGTATTCTCTCTTGAGACTCATTCTTCATACTTCCTGACCTTTCTACAACACTTTAAGGACCTAAAGATCCTACTATTCAACATTTACATCCCCCCCCCTTCTGCTTCTTCACCGCCCCTTTGGGATAACCTAGGAGAACTTCTCCTGAAATATTCCACCCCCTTCTGCTTCTTCACCGCACCTTTGGGATAAGCTAGGAGAACTTCTGAAATATTCCATTGTCTACCCCTCTGATCATCTCTTAATTGGGAGCTACCTCAATTCTTGAATAGGTCTAAATAATGACGCCTTAGCCCTCTACCTAAATCTACCCCTCTGCTCATCTCTTAATTGGGAGCTACCCCAATTCTTGAATAGGTCCAAATAATGACGCCTTAGCCCTCTACCTAAATCGGAACTTCAATGAGCAAAGTCCTCCCTGGTGTCTTTCTTCTAGATCTTCTAAAGACTCTTTTTAAAATACCTATGCCTTCCCTCTGATAGGGATATGTCTTCATCGTAATTTAACCATTCTCAATGGTTTTGCTAAACAAGACGTTCCAGGAGAATTCACTCATCTTACCACCAGGGGCTCGAGCGTTATCGATTATATCCTGGTTTCACCATCTCTTTTTTCCTTCCTTTTTGACTTTCTGATTGGTAACCATACAGATAGTGACCATCTTCCCATCATGTTATCCTTATCTTTTCCTCTACCCTCATCTCTATTTTCTCTATCACCTGCGCAATCCTTTCCCTGAATCAGATGGTCCCCTAACGCTGAACAAGTAGCCCTCGACTGGTCCTGTTTACCTGAAACTATGTATATATAAAAACAGAATGGACGGCCTCTAGCACTTTAGCTACGGCCATCTTGAACTATAACTTACTCATTGAATTTTTAATATCTCTATTTCGATCTCAAAACGTGCCTCACTCTGCTACCCATTCTCATTCTTGGTTTGACGCAGACTGTTGGAAGGCAAAAATTAATTAGATCTTTCTTTTTTTCTGTTCACCAACACTTAACCCTCCCTTCCCTACAGCACTATTTCTTCCTTCGTAAAGCCTGTTCTGCCTTGTTTGATATAAAAAAAACATCAATTTGCACAACGCAAATGGCGCCTCTTAAATCAGGCAATCATATCTCACAAGCAGAAGTCCTTCTGATCTATAGTCTCTTGTTCCATTTCACCGCCCCCCTCAAATTCATTTACCTCAATCCCCACTGAAACCTGGATTAATCATTTTACAGGGCTATGTACAAGTTCCTTTCCCCCTCCCTTCCCTTTTACCGAATCCCCTCAATCTCCGTGACTGACCCCCTGTCACCATTGACCAAATCATAGATCTCATCAGTACTCTGAAATCTGATAAAGCCCTGGGTCCAGACAATTTCTTCTCTGAGATCTTGACTTCCGACCCCCATTGGAGGGCTGAGCCCCTTGCCAAATTTTTTACGTTAGTTGACAGTACTGGCAAATTCCCTGAAACCTTCTGTCATAATTCCCATTTACAAAAGAGATTAGTTAACAGTACTGGCAAATTCCCTGAAACCTGGCTATCTTCTGTCATAATTCCCATTTACAAAAGAGGTGACGTCTCCCAGCCTGGCAATTATAGGCCGATAAGTATTCTTCCTAATATTGGTAAACTGTATTCCAAATTCCTCCTCACCAAACTCTTATCTTGGGTGCAATCTCAAAATCTCCCTGGAATGGAACAAATTGGTCTTCGTGCTGGGGTGTCCACTTCTGATCATGTATTTCTACTATCTTTTTAGCTGAAAAATATTCAACCTATCATCACTCCAATCTCTATGTTGCCTTTATTGATCTTAAGGGCACTTTTGATTCCATTAATAGAAGTCTATTATCGGAAAAGCTTTCCAAATGGGAATCAACCTTCGTCTTCTGTTTTTGCTTCGCTGTCTTCATACTTTTAACTTCAGCCAAGTCCGCCTCCCCAACTCAGACATTCTAACTAATAGGATTCCTGTTTTAAATGGTGTACACCAAGGATGTATCCTTGCCACCTTGCTTTTCAAACTTTTTCTAGCTGATTTCCCTTCTTTTCTTCCAGACTCTGATAATTCTCCTCCAGGTCTTAATGGGGCTCCTCTTCCTGTCCTCCTTTATCCTGATGATATGGCCCTACTTTCTCTTACTATATTAGGTTTACGTTGCTCCCTTACCTATTTACAACAATGCTGTTCGTTAAATCATCTTACCATCAACTCAGACAAGACAAATGGTCATTTCTCTATAAACCCTAAAGGCAAAAGGCTTTGCCTTTTCTGTCACTTGCTGCCTGATACATTAGATCATATTCTATTCAAATGTCCAGCACATTACTCCCTTCGGAAACTCCTTTTAGATCATTGGTTGATTCCCTTTTCAGACTTTTTCCCTGACCTTCTCCCCCCCCCTTTTTTTTTTGAGTGACTGCTGTGCTTCCCTCACTGAAGCGATGGCAAACTATTTAGCTGTAATTGTGAAACTCACTGTAGAACTTTTCTTTACCTCATTCCCAGGTATTATGTATTACTTCTCATTATTTTGTACTCCCTCATTTAATGTTGACTATGTTTATTCGCCTCGTGATTCTTTTCCCCTTGTGTCTTACTTCCTTGTCCACACTGTTTTATGCCAATAAAGGTTTGCTGTACTGTACTGTGTCTGTAAACAGGATAGGTTTCTCAACACGTATAGGAAGATGTAAAACAAACTTTTAAACCCATTTCTTAAAATGTATCAATATTTATATAATTTTACTTACAACCTAAGCCATCATGTTTCAGTGACTAGATCAGAACATTTATCTCTTACAGTCAAAAGTAAATAAAAGTAAAAGTTAAAATAAAAGATAATCTTGCAGCCAGCCAGATAAACTTTTTCCCTGACCTCCCTATTTTTTTTTTTTTTGAGTGACCACTGTGCTCCCCTCACTGAAGCGGTGGCAAACTATTTAGCTGTAATTGTGAAACTCACTGTAGAACTTTTCTTTACCTCATTCCCAGGTATTATGTATTACTTCTCATTATTTTGTACTCCCTCATTTAATGTTGACTATGTTTATTCGCCTCGTGATTCTTTTCCCCTTGTGTCTTACTTCCTTGTCCACACTTACTTCTGGGGAAAAAAAATCCAAAATAGACCCCTAAAATTCGTACTACTGTTTTTAAAATTTAAAGGGTGTAGTTGGTATCCATGATTTTCCTGCTGGGAAAAAAAAATCCAAAATAGACCCCTAAAATTGTTAACAAATGTGCAAACAAGCCATCAGAGAGGAGAGGCTGTTGTGTACATTGCTAAATTCATTTTGAGCAGCAAAGCTGGTAACGTGGCTATAGCCATGTGTTCACCTACTAGAAATTAGGCTATATTGACCACAGTGGGAGACTTCTGAGTAAACATATATAAAGAGTCCATTATAAGGCATTAAAAGGAGGAGCGCCACTGTGCAGCATGTTATATGTGGTGTCATCTTAATCACATTCATGGATTGTTTCACTCTTTTAGGAAAAAGGTGTTTCTCAGAAGAAAATGCATGAAAAAAGAAAGCAAGATATCAAGGAAAGCAACGTGTACTTAGTAACAGCACCACTTAAACCATGCTCACCAAAAAGAAATCCAATAATTGAAGAAAGCCTATATAAAAAAGCACTCTGTGTAACCTCAAACAAGTATCCAGAAACAGAAGAACTACTTCAGGACACAGTAAAGGCTAAAGGTGACATTGCATATCCAGATAACTTGATTGGACGGCATATGGAGCAAACAGGATCTGTGTTAATAGCAGCTGGTCTGCCAAATCCAGCAGCTGTTGATTCCAGTTCCCCAGAAAATAATTTCTCTAATTCTGTAGAGAACTTCTTCAGTAATGCAACCAGAGTTCTGCAATCTTCAGTTCATGATCTGCCGTCATGTCTAAAACGTGCATCAGATTCTAATTTAGAGGCTACAGATCTTGAACATTTGGATTCGCCTCTAGAATTTAGTAGCACCACTACACCAATGAATGATATTGCGCCTGATCAATTGGACTGTGATCTTGAAAGCTATTCGGTACAGGTGCAGCAAATGGATGAGAACTCCATGTTGCTCCATACAGTATCACAAGCTTTAGAACAATTCAGTGGAAATAAAGAGTCTGTTATCACCATTATAGTTCCTTCTGACAGCTCAAGAACACCTTTCTTGTTAGAGGGCTCATTCATACCAGCGGAACAGGAATTAGTTAACACTGAAGCAGAAAATGTTGAATGCATCACAAACTGCAGTAGCAGTGAAGTGCTACAAACTGAGCATTCATACTGTAGGCAAGACACAAACAGGGAACAACTCTGGCAAAAAATAGCAAAGTTGCATTCTAAAATAGAAGTGTTAGAAGTCCAGGAGAGAAAAACTTTAAGCAGACTCAAATCTTTAGAGTTACTTATTGCAAAGCTAAAGCAGGAAAACCTCCTTTCTGAAGAAAAGCTCAAGATTGTAGAAAACTGTTTCACAACATTTGAAGTTACTATGATAGAATAAACGTTTTTAAAGTGATTGTGTCCGCTGATTACTGCTACTACTCTGATTTCCTCTATTCATTTTAAATGTCATGGTTTAATGAAGTTAATGGGTTAGAACTTAGAGATGCATCGAATAAACCTCCCATAACTAGGCACTGCTTTGCACAAAGGCCAAAAACAACACTAAGATAAACCTGTCCTCCATTCACACAACATCTCTCCGTTTTTAAGAACAGTGAGTCGAGCAGAGATGTCCAGCGCTCCGTCTTACCCAGTGACTTTCGATTATTTTCAGCCTGTAACGCCTGATTCCGTCTCCAGGGTGCTTGACCGCTGCCGAGCCACCACCTCCTCCTTGGACCCT